GGGGGCATTTGGCTAATCACAATTAAAAAGTAGAACTGAAAACATGCTCATTGCATAATAAAACCATGTGGAAGCAGCTAGGGATGCCCTTACTATGTACCATGTTCATGTAATTGTAAATATTTTAATATATCTTCATGATCAGTCCTGCTAAACAACAGAATTTCTTTAAATATAAAATCATTCTCTGATTGAAACTAAGTTTTTGTAGATGATGACAATAAGGGCACCATTATTATATTTAAGAAGGTAAACAAAATATTATTGGCAAAAAAAGCAGATGTAGAGAGGCAAAGAAATACCATGGGAGGAGATTGTGCAATGAAGACTGCTTCCATTTAATTGTGAGCCTTCCTCTACTTCTGCTCTTCTGCTTTCTTTGGGAAAATAAGGTCATTAAAATAGATAGAATAGAAGAAATAAGGTAAGTAAAACATAGTTTAAGTGACCATTTTCTTCCGAACTTTTCCTGGAACACGTCTTGGGTTGCCAATGTTCAGTAATTGTTACACGAGGCACAAATTATGTAACAGAAAATTGCATACTGTCAAGGGAGGGGGGTGTTTTTATTAAAAATATTTTATAAAATTAAAACCTGTTATTTGGATGTATGTTAATAATAATAATAATAATAATAATAATAATAATAATAATAATAATAATAACAACAACAATAATATAAAAAAAGTAAAGTAAAAATATTCCAAAACTGAAATTTCTCGTTAGCTTCTTTGTCTATTTCATATTTACATTGGCTCTAATATCTTGTTATGTCTCCATTCAACTTTACTAACAATATTTTAAAATATTTCATGCATTTTATATTTTGAATGCTCAACCCGCAGTGAATATTTGTGCTTTGAAGGTTCCTCATACCAATTACTGTGGCTCTGATTAATAAACCAGAATACTCTCTAACTTCCTAATCACTTATTCATACATTAGAAAATTAGAACACTAGAAATGGTTTAGTTAGATTTATTTAGTCAAAAAACAATAAAAACTGTATGTAATGTATGGGGGATAAAATTATCAATGCACGTTTTCTTGAGTTCCAGGATCCCTTCCCATCATTTTAACTATAAATTGTTGAAGATGAGTACAAGTTAGAGATAAACAAATAAAAATAAAATTTAAGAAAGCATGAGAATAGCAATATTTGAAAAAACTAGAAATTTTCATTCCAGAGTTATAGAAAACTTATTTGTAATGGTAAATGAATTGCAGATATCGCACTCCAATAGAAAAGTGACACAACTGCGAATTTCTGATATCTCAGAAATTGCAATTTTAAGTTTTGTAGTTCTGTAATACTTGTTATAGATTGTACGAAGTACTCACCTTCTCGCAGACAGTAATTGCACTAATTAAAAATCAACTTCAGAATATTTGCAGTACCTCTTGGTAACCTCTTATCAGCTTTTAGCTAAAAAATGACGATTTCGAACTTGTGTCCCTTTTTCATTGGAGGTGCGATATGATTTTTCTGCATTGATAACAAAATAGTAACTAGCCCTTCCCTCCACTCTTACCATTAGAAGCAAAAGGAGAGTTCAACAAAACGTGCGGAAAGTGAAGCTACTTCAGCAATTTCAGGTTGAAGTTTAAGAGAACAGAAGTAATTGAAATGTAATGATCTTACCGGGTAAACATGGCAGGATACATAACAGTCATATATGGCATAGCTTCTCCTTCGTTTAGCAACCATGTAAGATCTTTGTTACTTGCAATTAGGTGGATTACACCAACATTGCCTAGTCTGCGTGCTAAAAGCAAGAATGTTTGATAAGAATAATACACCAATTCATCGATATTTTTGTATATTATAAAGACATTCACTCACAAGTGCATCCAAACTGATGTGTTCCGTTTAATCTTCTGAAACAAGCAGCACCCTCAATGGAATCATATATTTTACTTTTCATTCGTTCAGAGTACACTGAAATTAAAACAAGACCGTGTACCATTATGTTTTACTGTCGTAACAATTCCCTAATGATGCTCGCAACCTCTAACCAAATTGCCGTACCTCCCTTTATGTAATTGTTTAAGCGTTACCTGGATTAAACGTCAAAACGAAGATCACAACAGCAACCACATAAATCTTTGCAGGCGCCATTGTCATTTACAAAAGCATTTAAATAGGGAAAACGGGGAATACAATTTTGACAGTACTTGAATCACACGCAAAGACTCCAGCATCGAATAAGGCAGTCTCAAAGCTTTGATCTTGGCCAGGTCTCGGCCTACCTAGGCCAAGCCTCTGAAGTCGTCAAAGCACGTCAGAGTATGTCGAGTATGGATAAGGTGGTAGGCAAAGGACGAGGGGGGGAAGAAACCTGCCGCTGTACCATTTACCACTGTTCGATGTTGCCGAATAGTCACTGTTACACCATTTGCGAAATGAGTTAGTGTAAAATTTCGCCGTTAGAGGTGTTGAAATCCAGCCGTCCAGAATGACGTCACAACGTTTGGCGGGAAAGTGTTGGGTGGCAAGAGGGAAAGTGTTAGGTGCTGAGCGCGTAACATTGGTCAACATGATTTTTGTCTCAAAAGTACCAATAGGTGTACTTATACTTGGGTTTTTATTTTTTAGCGCATAATATCTAACGGTATTTCGCGTCTTTCTCGGTCGTATCGCTAGATGTTACATGATTGCCAGCACTGCTGAATACGGTAGCGATCATGCGGCACAACTGAGAAAGACGCGAAATGCTATGAGATATTCCATCGTGAAGACAGATCCTCACACGCCAAGACATAACAACCGAAATATAATGATGTTTTTATCTGGTTTTCAAATATGCATTCAGAATTTCGCCATCACATAGATTTTATTAATTATTTCAATTCTTTTAAATATTTGTAAATGTTTTTTTCGTCCATTTGCCCATCGCAAAGTAACCATGAAGCACACGCAAATATGATTACAAAATATTCAGATTCGAAGTTTGCGAGTTTGTATTACTCTGACAATAACTCGGATTCACTTTTTTTCAGGCGTTTAAGACTTACTGATTTACACATGATCTTTTGAAATTCCATGTTTTTGTATAGCTTTTGAATTTTTTTTCAAAGTTTCTATCTCTATTCCATGTACTCTCCTCAGTGTCGGAACTAGACAATTTTGGGCCCGGGCCAATGTTGAAAAGTATCTCCCTCAAAAAAATTTAAAATGTGAAAGTTTTATCAAGTCACTGCGAGTTATTTTATTTCAAATAATTACAAAATTACAAAAGGGTTTTGGAAAAGTATAGCTTTCAGTAAAAGTATTATACAAAAAGTATTGTTAAATTTTCAGAATGGTTGGCATTTTTCATTTCATGGAGTCCTTCTTTAAAATTTTTTACTATAATTAATTACCTATTTCAGGTAAAAAGTTAACTGAGAATTTTATATATCTCACTACCGTACTGTGCCACGACATACAAAATTACGATAACGGTTTTTTAAGGTCTAATTCGTTTTTCAATTTTTTACTGCCTTTTCCCCATCATTGGACCCCTTGGTTCGCAGGCCCCCGTGCTGGTCGCGGTCTGCCCATGTCTAGCGCCGGCATTGACTCGCCTTAATCGTCAACAAAAGGCAGGCCAACAATAAAGCTTCGCTTTTACTTCTCTGCCTGTTAGCCATTTGTGTCAATCATCACACGAAGATTGAATTTCTTGAATTTTTCTCGCCAGCACAATGTACAACCGTATTCATCCTATGAGTAGGTCGACCATTGCCCAAAATTTGTCTCTTTTCTCCATCGATAAGACGAAAATACAGTGTACCTAGCAGTTCATCTGTTATAATATTAACGTAAAATTAGATTTAAATATAAACTAGTGGGACTATAACAGCACGTACTTTATCGTCTTAAGTAATAGGTATGCAATACTATTTATACCATAATTTCACTCCGAATTAACATGTATCATTTTTTGTAAGACTCATTACAAACGAAATATTTTCAAGCAAATATCAACCCAAATTTGACAATTATATCTGTTTTTTATACAGGAATATCATGTCCCAACAAGAAGACTTAATTCACCGCGCTACAAAAATTATATACCAGCAATAACTTTGCCCATCCTCATGAATCAAAATGGCAGACAGCGGTGGCATAGACACAGTAAATCGTATAAATGGCATCGGCGGGCCGCAGGTGGCTCGGGAGCCGTAGTTCGAGGATTTCAGGTAAAGAAGATCAAGTAATCAATTTAATTTCATAAACAATTGCCGATTCTTCACGTATCTGAACAGTGGGGTAGTATCATGCAGTAGCATAGCTCAGCCCGTTTCTTGGCTAGTTAGGGATGCGCGCACATACAGCTAGCGATCCTGGTGGAGGCACACTATTACGGATAGCTGAAGCCAGCGCCATCTGGAGTTAACGCCCACACCCGTGAAGCTAATGCCGTTTTGCTTTCCAAAGAGCGTTACTAAACTACACTGAGCTGCAATTTTAGGTATCTATAAAATAATTCACGTTAATTGATATTTTCTATATCTGAGGTCCAGATCTCTTCAAAACTAAATATCAGCCTCACACTTAGTGAAAAAAATGCCTTCCTCTCTAGCCTTAGCAAAAATTAGAGTAGGGAATCAAATACGAATATTGCAGAAATAAATGCCAAGAGATATATTTTTGGTTTTGTATTAAAGATAATTATGGAGTTGCATCCTTAAGAAAAATGCAAATTAGTGGTGCAACAGAATTCCATTGACTTTCCCGTACTAGTCAGTTTTCTAATATCGTTTGTATGGGCAAACATGTCTTGTCCCGTCCTCTTGCCAGCTGTCATCTGTCGGCGCCTAAAGTACATTTTTCCAAAAATGTCTAAATGTTTCGGTTTTTTAATGGTAGAACTGAAATATTACATTAAGAATATTAAACCCGAGTAAATCCTCATCATATAAGAAAATTTTTGTTGAAACATTTGGGGTCATTTTTAAGACAATGGCTTTTAAGCGTTATTGTAAATGGGAATGTTGACGCTCTTTTTCACAGAAACATTTTGAGTCTTCGAAAAACTTCATTTGAAGTCATTTGGGGCAATATAACTCACAAATGCAATGCGAATGCAATTGCCTTTTATGCTTCTGGATTTGGCAACCCTGGTGTTGCAATCTGGCAACTGACAGCTCTATCGTAAAGTTGGATGTTTTGAGGCTATACGTACTCAAAACGTTTTGACATACGGGCGCTATTTTTGTTGTTTACAGTAACTTAAAAGATTCATCTTGGCCCAAAAATGGAATTAAATCGTGAACATTATCCTGGGATTATTTTTTACAACTTTCGACGTGGATTAACTCACATGCAAAAGTGAATGGATGAACTTAATTCAATTTTTGGCGATAAGGCTCCATCAAGGACCAGTGTTTATCGATGGTATGGTGAATTCAATCGTGGTCGTAGTTCACTCCAAGACGAATTTCGCGAAGGTCGTCCAAAATCAGTTGTTCCGAAAACCATTGATGCTGCGCGTGAACTGATATTGCAAGATCGTCATGTGATCTATCGTGAAATTGAAACAGACTTAGGCATTAGTGGGATCAGCATACATTCAATATTGCGTGAACATTTGACTGTCAAAAAAATTTGTTCGCGTTGGATCCCACACAATTCGTCAATCGCTCAAAAAAAAGGCTCGTGTCGATTGGTCGTAAGAAATTGTCAAAACATAGGATCTCGGTGCTTCGAAACACGTCCATGACATTGTGACAGGTGATGAATCGTGGATTTCCGCGTATGAGCCCGAAAGTAAACAGCAGTCGACTGTATGGGTGTTTCAAGATGAGCAAAATCCAACAAAAGTTGTTCCGAGCACGAAGCACTTCCAAACAGAGGGTCATCTGATTTTTCGAAAAAAACTAGACATGTCGCAACCGTACCACTAGAACAACGCATAACAGTCAATTCTGAGTGGTACACAATGATTTGTTTGCCAGCTGTCTTCCAAGAAATCAGGAAAACCAACCGCCAAAGACGTATCACTCTGCACCACGACAATGCGAGATCTCTTACATCGGCTCAAACAACTGCATTTTTGAGCACCTAAAACATCGATTTGATGAGTCACCTGCCGTATAGTCCTGACTTGGAACCGAATGACTTCTTTTTATTCCCGTACGTTAAAAACTGAGAGGTCGTTTTTCGACACCTGAAGAAGCGGTTGCTGCATTCAGAATGTATGTTTTGCAGATACCTCAATCAGAGTAGCAAAAGTGCTTCGACAATTGGTTCAAACGCATGCAAAAGTGTATAGATCTTCATGGGGAATATTTTGAAAAACAATAAAGTGATTTTCGATTATTAATATTTGTTTGTTCTCTAATCCTGAAATATAAAATGTAACTCTCCTACTATCTTCAAATTGCTAGAAATGTGCATATTAACGGCGTAAAAGATATTTCAAAAACTTACATTTGTGTAATTTTTGAAAACTAGTGGTGCTACAACAGCACATACTTTCTCGCGTTATTGGAAGCAGCTACGTAATATTGAAATATTGAATTTTCAGCGCTACTAATACCTCAGCTATTATTTGAAAACGTCCAATTCAAACAAAGCACCTGTATTGCATATCTACATTCATTTCGATAGTCAGGAGCAGAAATCATTTTTTACTTTGAGAAATGAAACAAACAGGAATACATTTGACTGATACAGTATTCGCAGCAAATTATACAGAAGAGCAACGCACTGTTGCCAGCGCAGCGTTGTCAAAACGTGCATTCGCTTGGGGAATAATAACATTTCTTTACAAAAACGCTTATTTCCATCTGTATTTAGATTAAAACTATTTTTATCATTAGTTGTGGTACACCATTCTGTTGATAAATATCTCTAATCCTAATAAAGTAATTAAATTACTAATATTCTACTTGTAATATTAAGTTAATTTATTACCGTCGTGATGTCCTTTTAAATCTGAGCAAATGCTGAGATGGCCCCTTGCTTTTCTTCTGGACATAAATGTAACTTCAAATTAACTTCTCCCCATAGCACGTGACACAGTATTTTTACGTAAATACAAATTCAATACAATTGTAAATAAAAATTCGTTTATTCGTTTTGAACACCTTTAGGGTGTGTGCATAGAGAAGTCCACAATGTGTCCTCGAATTTTCTACAGTTGAAACTTTCCACTAGTGAAACTTTCTGGTGTAACACTCATTGAATGAGAACTCACTGGTGTCTCATTGAATTGATTTTGTTTCGTCATTATTCCGAAGTTATAAAAAAAAAGTTGGTGGGTAATAGTCAGGTTTACTTTTTGTGATTAACTTTTACTTAATAGCCATTTGAAATACTTTTTTACCTGGTTTGACAAATGTATTAACTTTTACGTAATTCGTTCGTACCCTGGATCTGTGAAACCCACTACCATTATTCCTTGTGGGTTTTTCGTGTGTTGACTCCGATTCATCCTTCATATGTTTGGTACCTTCGTAGACAAGACAAACGAGTTGTT